CCCTGCACTATATACAGCAGTTAATTACTCAGCAATTAGAGCTCTAAATAAATGAATCGATAAACCAAAGTGCCTCGTCAGTTTCCAGTCACATTACAAAAGGTATCTGTGTGGCTGCTGAGAGCATTGGGACAGAGGGTAAGCAAGGAAGGATGGGACCCGAGGCAACCTCAAGCTGGGTCAGCTGTGAGAGCAGGCCATGCTGTGCAGGACTTGCTCCAGTCAGACCTTGAAAGTCCCAGTGGATGGAGCCTGTACAACTTCTCTGGGAAACCTCCTCTGCTGCCACACTGGAGAAGAAGGGTTTCCGTTAGTAGTGAAGCAGTTCATCAGCACACCTGGAAGGTTTATTATTACAGCACTCCTTTCACTAAGATCTCTGTAGTCAGCTGTGATGTATGCTCTTGTGCTACTGTGTATTCAGGTGCAATGTGACAGAAGAAAATACAGACCTAAGAGAAGCACAGATGCTGCTTCATCTGCTGAAGAAAATATGCTCATGGTGATGAGGCACTGTACTACACTGTAAGTATAACAGGTACAAGGATACAAATATTATTATTCATTAGCAACACTAAGATTTAAAAATTGCTGAATTAACATTGAGATCACAAACATTTCCATTTCCTTCCCATTAAATAATCAATATTTCTTTAGTGCTGCATTGCTAATTACTTTCTCCTACAACCTTCCTGTAATGAAACTGCATCCGTAAACTCATTTAGCTTAAAGCATGAGATTTCTTTTCATATATTTTGCTAGCAAGACAAGAGGAAAACATTACAAATCTGCATATTTGTTTTGTGCTGGATATTTATTCTGATAAATCAACTGCATTTTAAAACAAGAATAAAGATACTGGTCATTAATAATTGTTTGTATTTCTATAAACATACTTAACCAAGTCACATTTTAGACCAGTGAATTTAAGATTCAAAAACCTCTGGCACTGACTTTTCAAAGACTGATTTGTAATACCATAATCTTCTCATAAGAATCTGAGGCTCCAGTGCCTCTAGACTGTTAAGGAATGCAACAAAGGCAAAAATAAAACCAAAACAAAAAACCAACAACTGTAGCATTTCAGCAGCACCAAAGCCAACTAGCAGTTACCGCCAGTGGTATTACAATAGCATTACAGCATTTTTGTTGATATTAAAAATGTTAAACTTGCAGTTTGCTTTAATGGAGATAAACATTAAAAATACAACACAATGCAAGTATTCAAACCATTACCCTAAGATCCAAGATGGTAGGTTTATTCCAGGAGAGCAGTAAAGGCCTATCTCACACCTTCCTTGAGGATCACAGTACTTCTGAAGGAAAGCTGTTAACTCCATGGCATGTTTAATCACTGTTGCATATGTGTAGAAAGTTGGAGGTCCATCATTGCATTCATCAAACCAAACAGCTTTTCTACCTGAGTGCAGGCTGGCTGCCTGAGCCACCATATCATGGAGAGTCATCTCTGCTGCACTTCTCCAGCTCCCCTTGAAAGATTAACATAGAGTGCATTGTCATCTCCCGACTTATAATATTTTAATAAAATGACTTACGTACACAGAACAGTGCCAAGCAGGAAAAATTCAAAAAACAACTTCTGAACAGAAAGCACAATCCTTTATCACAACACATTTCACCACTGGAATGCAAAACCTGATACTTCTATCACTTACAACAGCTCCCATGCTAAGGGCGAGGAGTAACTCACTAATTTACAGGTGTCCAACCTTTTGGATTGCCTAGGCTGCACCGAGTGAAGTGGGATTGTCCTGGACCACTATACATAGGTTGCACTGAAAGTAATGCCTCCTATTTATTTCCAAACTACAATCAGTACAAAGAGCATGATAACATTTATTAACAGAGCAAGTTCTCAACTACAAAGCATTGTTTTTCTACAACCACCACCCTGTCTGCAGCAGTAGGGTTGGAACTAGACAATCTTTGAGATTCCTTCCAACCAAAGCTGTTCTATGATTCTACATAGAGTCACCACGAGCTATATGCATTTTTGCCAGCAATGAATAAGAGTCTGCATGCCATACTTATAAAAATCTGTGCCAGCAGAGGTGATGACCACTGTTGCCATCGCCACTGCTGAACCACACCACCCACTGCCCCACTGTGCTCACATAATGGAGACTGTCTGGTCTCCATTAACATTCACCAAGTGTCAATGCTGTTTTTTTCTGTATGGAGAAATTTAATTCTAACCCTTTCCTTCCTATGCACTTCCATGTCAGATGTCATTTTGTCTGACTGCCCCTCTGCCACCATCTGCCACACAGCAACAAAATGGAACAGGACAGTGGAGGAAAGGTTCAGCCTCTATTGCCATACTACCAATATCTGACTGTGACATTGTGAGACATCACCATAAAATAGGAGGCGTTACTTTCTGAGAGCCCTCATATAACATAGTTAATATATATAAGTAACAAAACTCATCTTAATCTTTAATGTTTTTATTAAAACAAACAAAAAGAAAAACGCAACTAAACCATAAAAACAGCGGGATACGTGAGCTTGTTTTTGTGAAGCTAGTGCATCAGGCAGGTTCAATGGCAGTGCTAACAATTCTCAGTGAGTTCTCAAGGTGCTCATCAGAGATTTTTGATGAAATTTCACCCTTCCTCTGCTTCATCCTTGAGAACAGTTGTTTACAAATGTATGAACAGCAACGCAAGGCATGACTGTGAAGCAAGGGACTGTCAAGCGAGGGACACTTCTGTGGTAAGAGTGGGCTTACAGAAGTCTGGTAAGGAGACATGGTCAGATTTTTGACTGCAAGTCTACGTGTTCTATTTGAAAACGTACTTATATCAACTGAAAATAAGTGACACACGCAAAAAAAAAAAAAAAAAAAAAAAATTCGGCACTCTTGAAACCCATTCTCAAATTCCTTTATCAGAATAGAAAGCACAGCTGCACATTTTTCTCCATTCACAGGGTTGCGTTTAGCCAACGCATCAAACCGCACACGCTCACTGGCAGTAGCTTCAGCTACGCCATGCGGTGGTTTCACCCACACATGGCTGCCGTGACGGCGCGGCGGGCGGCAGCGGGTTGGAAATGCCTGTAGTGACTGATTGCAGAGGGTGCTCATCGCTACGCTTCTGTTTTTGAAGCTGGACATAACCAAATTAAGAATTTTGGTAACACAGATCAACTAATAGCTTTCTCTTTAGTAGTACTGCGAAATAACCTTATTTTCTTTGCAAGTAGAAAATCCACCGCGCCGATGACTGGATGGTTTTGTCAGTACCGCTCCCTGCACCGCGGGGCCCTCCTGACTGCCCGCACCCCAAACGCGAGGCAGAGAGCACCGCGTTCAGGCTGCCCTGCATATCCCGCCACGCTCCCAGCCCTCCCCGTCTCCAGGCGCTGTAGGCACAGCCCTGCACGTCCCGTCCCGGGGCACTCAGCCACACCGGGACCACAGGCGCCATCAGCGCGGCTCGTATACCACCAGACCCACCTCTGCCGGGGCCCTCCAGCAACACCCAGCGCCATCCGTTCACCGTCTCCTAGCAACCAAAGAATAGCGCTAACGATTGGTGGAATCTCTTTTACCCCGGCCCGCTCTCCAGTAACGCGTGCGTTCATTGGTCAACACCTGTCGCGCTATTGGTGCATCAGCAAGCGGCGCCCAGATCGCAATGGCGGGTGTGGGTGATGCTATTTTAGCCGCGGGCGAGAAGAGGGGGAGTGCTATAGCCGTGCTAGGCAGAGGGGAGAAGATCAAACACAGGGTCCCCGGAGCAAAGGGTAAAGTTCTGCCCCGCCGCGCACGGCCACTCACCCCCCCCCCCCCCCCCGGAGGACGGTACGGAGAGCCGTAGGGATCCTACGGCGTTCCTGGAGCGGAGCGCTTGGGCTGAAAGGCTGCCGCGAGGAGGGGGTTTAACGTAAGACCCGAATGGATTTATCCCATGCCCGAGAGCTCTTTCAGGGTGATTTTATTAAAGATATCTCCGAGGCATGGTGCCAGCAAAAACTGTGTAGAAAGAAAACCGTTTCCAAGAAAACCGTTCACTATTTTTAATGTTGCACGTGGTAGCAGTGCCTAGAACCAAAGGAATTCTTCCCTTCAAAGCGTTGACAGCACGTGTGCAACCTGCTGTATGTGATACACCAGAAGCCCAGTAACCTCCTCACTGCTCAGTGAATAAAGTGGCTCTCGAAAAGCATTCTTTAATTTTAAAACATACATCCTCAAAATGAGGCATGCAGTGTAACTAAAAGTTACGGGGCATACGATGGCAGTCCTTCTGTAATGTTGTGCGTTTCACGGAGAAAAATGGGATTATGACTCACTGAAATCAGATTTACGCCACCTGATGCTCAAATCACATTTAAACAGTCCTTTCCACATGTAAAAATAGCACTCTTGTTGAAAGTTTGTTAAAAGTTATTTGCATAACTTTCAATCTGTTCTACAAGATAACTTCAAATGGATTGAATTCTGCTTGCAACTGTATTAAACTGTGCAACCGGTTTCGTCTTCTTACACGCATCTAACACAAGAGCTTGATTTATCCTTTCAAAAATGTTTGCTTTTTTGAAGAAGAAGAGAAGAAGGGCAAAAAATGCTGAAGTTTCTCAGTTTTCTCACACTTCTCCCTCATAATGTGGAAGAGTGGAGGTCAGAGAGATTGCATCCAGTTCCTTTTTTGCTCACTTTGCTGTCCGGGTAATAGGACTGTTAAAAAACAAAAACACTTGCTAAATAGAAGAGATCCATATACCTCACCCAATAAGCAGATCTAGACTTCCACAAAGAGTGCAATTCTCAAAATAAAGTAGATTTTCCCATTAGCTTTACTGCAAGTAGGTTCTGATTTCAGAGAACCTCCACAAGGCTCAGTCTTTTGAAAGTATTTATATCCTTTCTTGAATTGAGACTTTTGTGATCATGTATCAGGCACAAATTCCACCTAAGTAAGCTCAATTTTTTATATAATGACCAGTGCTGCAATTCTCAACTATGTGCAAGATGGGGAAGAAAAAAGCTCTTAAACTTTTATTTTTCTCTGTTTTTGTAGTGGTGTCACATGCAATTGTAAGGCCAAAATACACAATATTAAATAGATAATCTAAAATTAAGTTGCTGGTACTTTGTGAAAAAACACAGGTATACAAAATATTTTTTACAATTGTGCATTCATTTGCAGTAGTTTCAAAAGGTGCTATTCTCCTTCAGCTAGTGGTTCATTTTGAGGCAGTCGTTATGGATACAAGTAACTAACTGTGACCAATTAAGAAATATTATGCTAATACAATTAAAAAGTTAAATACTAATGGTTCTTCAAAACTCTTTCTTTTAAAACATTACATTTATTTTAACAGCAGTGATGTGTAAAAATAAGAGTCTAGCCAAAACAACACAATCTTCAGTTGTTATATCATGCTTCCTGTTAAGAAAGTAACTGTATTTTTGAGTGAAGTTTGGACGCTAACACAGAAAGAGCACACTGAGTAATATTCAGACTGCAGAAATTGTCAGGACTTGTCCTGGAGAAAACAAGACGTGAAACAAAAAGTAAAAAATGGCAGTGCCAGGTGTTTTTCTCCTTCCACATCCTATTGGCCACTGGAAAACACCTGAAGATACGTGTTGGACTTCGGAAAAGAATTTTGAAGTTACAAAGATAGAAAGCTTTTGGCTTAGCATCTCCCTGAGTGTTCATTCTTAAAATCATGTACCAGACATTATGTTCATGGAATCTGGATACTCAGTTACAAAGGGCTTGATTTATAATGGCTATTTAGCTTATATGCTATTTAGCTATATATATAAATGGCTATTTAGTAAGATATGTTTTTTAAAAATCTAAGCAAAAACTGCCGAGGAAGCAGTTTGACTCTTCAGATTTTTTCCAAAAGAGAGAAGCAAGCCTTGTACTGAAAAATTATTTTGATAATTTGAAATTACACCATATGATTTATAATTTGTACTTCAACTCTGTGAATAAATCTGACACAGATATCTCACATTCAGGGCAAGACTGAAACAAAAAGCTTTGGGACCGGTAAATAATTATAAACACTTTGGTTTTTACAATATTTTATGAGAAAATAGAAAGCACAACTGTGCTTCAAAACTATATGATTTTATATTTTAATTTGCTTAGATAGTTTTTGTCAGCACACACTTTATCTAAGCCATTACCATAAAGATGTAGTTAATAACAGTAATCAGTTAGCTCTGGTAAGCTTTACATATTACCTAAACATAAGAAGGCTACTAGCAAGAAGGCATCTTTGAAACAGGTACATTCATCAATGGATGAACCAATGTCCATCCACTAAAAATTCACCATTCTAGCTCTACAGGATACTCTCCAGTGAGGCATGCTGTGCAATGACCAATCTTTCCAACACGCGATTTCTGGGTTTTAAGACTGTTCTCATTCTCTTTTCTTGCTTTGATGCTTTCTTGCACAGATGATACGAGCCCTTCCACAGAAAGATAAACAACACTGTCAGCCCCTAGAGGAAATAAAGGATTCATCAGTTAAAAGCTGCGATTTTGTTCCAAATGCAATGCTCTTACAAAATGTGAGTGCACTGTTGTATTGATTACAATACAAGGTGGATCACCTCACATAAAGACAATAGTCATGAAAAATTATCAGACCATAGCAAGCCTTGCCCTTCTCCAGTTATTTGTACAGGGAGCAGAATCACTGAAATCTAGACAGGAGGTTCTAAGTTGTGATCTGCAAAAATTGAAACAGAATCCAGGGTATGTATTAAGACTGCCTAAACTCTGAAGAGTTTAACAGAGTTATTTTGCATTTCAGCTCTGGAAGCAGGTGTAACGAGTGACTCAATTCCCTAACTTCTAACATCTTACTAATAGTACCCTTTCTGGAATTTGGAGGAGCAGAAGAACATCATGTTAAAAAAAAAATCAGTGTTCAGTTCATGACAATGTTGTAGCAGTAGAAAAGTTTGACAGCCTTTTCGCATAGTCACTTTTTCATTTACACCCACTATTTTATGAAAGAATGCTTCTTAAATACGAGATCCTACAAACTTGAAATATTTCAACATGCCTTCATGATGATGATTTAGGAGAAAGGAATTAACTTTAAGATTGGACAGCATTTATACAAGAAATCTGAATTTAAAGTTTTCTACCCACAGCTATATTCTTAAACCATTTTTAAAATACTTTGCAGCACAATAAGCCATATACTGGATTTTCTCACTCACAGACCTTCACACAATTTCTGTTACTGCTATTTCCATGATGAGCACATTATTTACCACATCACAAGCAACACTAAGTTACTGGTTCTTTGTTCTGCTGTAAACATGACTTGCTCTAGAGATCTTAAAATGTATTTAATTAACATTCTTTCATTAGTTTCAAATGTCATTTCTTTCAAAGTGATGCAAATTACAAGAACATAAATTTGTAGAAAAATCAGTGGGTGTTTACAAGTTCAGGATATATTTTTATGAATGTCAATAAAGTGAAACTACGTTTGTTTTTCATTACACAACAGATTTTCACCACTTATTTTCTTTCTGATATTTGCCTACAGCAACACCAAATGTTTCCCAGAAGGAGTTCAATGTACTGGAAACATGTTATTAGCCTTTATTTGTAACTTACGAATTATTCGAATGGTTTACATTGGTCAGAGAAATATAATTCATTAACTGCATCATAAAATATGCAACTAAATTGGTTTGAACCATAGGGAACACACAATATTTAGCGTGTCAACTTTTATGATTTTTTATCAGTTTTGCCATTCTTGCCTTTATGTGTTCATTATTTTGACGCAGGCAGTAAATACTTTGCAGGTAAAAGCCATCTTTCAAAGAAACCTCGCATTTACCTATGTAGTTTGCCAGATCATGAAATTCAGGTCTGTTGGCAATCAGTTCTTCTTTTGTTGGAATGTTTATTCCCATGTAACACGGAAATCTTATGGGAGGTGAAGCCACACGAATGTGCACCTGAATAAAAACACAATTTCAAAACAGTGCTATGAGGTGAAGTTCAGCAGATTGTTCAGTCTTGATTTTGCTTCTCTTCTATAGCATTCAATCCTCGATGCAGGTGTTTCAGTTTACAAAGTCAAACATCATATGAAACACTTCTGCTTCAGTGAAAAACTTGCTTACAGTTTCAGTTAAGAATTTTTATCAATTAAACAAACGTGCTTTGATGACTTAAAGCACATTCCTGATTACTGCAGTATGTGAATGTACTTAATGCATGTGGCAGAAATACACCAACACTTTTTTCTCATCTTACCTAATCTGTTTTCTATTCTAGTTGTCAGTTAGCACTTTATAAATGGAGACGTGTTCCTCTCCCCTTAATCTCCAAAAATCAAAACCAAAGAAACAAAACAAACTTTTCAACCCACCATGACAAAAAAACACACCAGTCTTCTCTTTTTTTTTTTTTTTCCACACTTGCACTTTTAAATAATGGAAAAATGTGTAGTACAAATGAAGTCAAAACCCAGTGCTTTACACTCCAATCAATCTTGTACTTAAATGTGTAATATACAGACTAAAAATGAACTTACCTCTTTAGCTCCTGATTCCCTTAGTAGTTTTATTATAGGAGAAATAGTATTGCCCCTCACAATTGAATCATCAATGATAACAACTCGCTTGCCTTTAAAATTGTCAGATAGAACACCAAACTTCTTTGCAACACCAAGTTGCCGTAACCTCATATTTGGCTGGATAAAAGTTCTTCCTACATAGCGATTTTTACAGAGTACTTCAACATATGGCAGTCCACACTATAAACAGGAGACATTAAACAGAGTTAGTATCTATAAAACTGGTTATTCTCTGTTACTGTGCTTCAAAGAAACCTTAGGATTCAGTATAATTTCACAATAACCAAAAATCTTTGAAATATCTTAATAGAGTGGAATAATGACAAAAACCAACAAGTGATGCAGTGACTCAGAAGGTCTGTAGGCCACTCTAGCAGCCTGTGCTGAAATGCACCACTACAAAAAAAAAAAAGATATGTGTAGATATATTTGAGAAAAGAAAGCAAATTAACACAAACCTTTTGAGCATAACCCAGAGCTGCTGGGGTTGCAGACTCTGGAACAGTGCTGACCAGGTCTGCCTCCACAGGTGCTTCAATAGCAAGTTGCTGGCCACATCTCCTCCTGACTGAATACACCATTTGACCTAAGAACAGCAATAAGTGTTTTTCCTGGTATGCATAATTCAGATTTCCTCTCAGATTGCTGTACAAATGTCTGTGGTAAGTTGCAGGCATAGAAGTCAGTGAGAAAAATTTTGGAGTTAATAAGCAGTCATTCACATGAACTCATTTTTTATTTCCACCCATAATGTCATATTCTAACATTCACAACTCTGTCACTACACAGAGAATTAAAACCCAGCCTGCCCTAATCAGGTAACTAAACTTTATGTGTATGTTACAAAATCTACTCACAGGAGCAAAGAAGAGGAAATTATGCCTGCATGTTCACAATATGCATGTTCTATTTTTAGTCTGTTTTCCTAAGCAGACAAAGTTTGTGCAATCATTCTGTCTGCCTCCATCCACTTATTAGTTTTAAACCTGTTGGTTATATTTACCCCACATTCGTTAAGGCAAAAAGAGGCCTTGAGAGTTTTTTAGGTCCTAAAAGTTTGGAACCAGAAGAGGAAACTGGAAGTACTGTGGTGAGATAGGCAAGGTAAAGGTACAGAAGAACTAGGGAACACGAAGGAAGTGGGGACATTGCTAGGTATGAATGTCCTGGCTAATACCGCATCTCTAACACAATTTTCAGAAGTTTCTACTGAAATAAAAACATTAGACTGACTGTCCCAAATACTTAGACAATTCACAGATTTAGAAGTTGTATTAAAAACATCTTCCTGAAGTAACCATTTCTTCCAACAAAAACACTAAGATAAAGTTGTTTTGTAGATTCTCTTTTATAGGTCTAATTATTTAAAAGGTTTTCTAAGAACTAATAAGTCTCTTGCTTTGAAGGGATGTTTCCACGACCTCAATCATGTTTGTGGTTCTTTTCGTCCTTTCCATGAAGCTATGCAGGCAGGCCTGACTGAGGCAATATACACAGACAGGAACAGGAAAGTGATGCTACATGCTTCTCCTGAGTCTTTTATCCTCAAGAACTGTGCCAGCCCATTCTATGCCAGCCCTGTTGTGAAAGCTCACACTCACTGCCAACCTGCAATGATCCTATACCCTCTCTAGAGTCAGTTGTCCTCCAGACTATAACTTCCCATTAGTTTGGGAGGCAGAGGCTTTGTATATTACATCTTCTCACCTTCAAAGATACTGTCTGGTCTTGCAAAATAAACATATTCAAAGATGCAGAATGCTGAAGGATCTCCTTCCGGTCTTGGTACAACATCCAATGTTTGGACATCATACCTGGATATTTTCACAATCTCTCCAGGAAGTACCTCACGATAGTACCTTGAAAGAGAAATACGCAGCATTTAGAATGATAGTTTTAAAACATAAACCCTATTGGTGGGAAAATTGCTTTAGAACATATTTCTCTTGTCTTAGGACTTAACTATGTTTTATGGCCAGCATGTAAGAGAAGTGACCTTTACTAAAATGGTCTGAATTAGCATCAAATAGCAATAAATTAATACTGTGGTACCACAGAATTCTTCCCATATGTGGGATGTAATCCAGTACAAAGAACACAGAAAAACACACCCACAAGAATACTATACAGAAGAGAATAAAAGAATACTGAAGTGATTACATTCTTTCCTGGTTTTGCTTTACTTTCTTTTTACTTAGTAGTGTGTTACCCAAATGCATATTTTTCTAATCTCTGATTAAGAAATTAAATATAACTGCTCTTTTTTTTTTTTTTTTTTTTTTTTTTTTTTTTTTTGATATCTCCCAATGAGCCTTCAATCTCTTTTTGTTTCAACAAAGTATCCCGCTTTTCTTTTTAAAGTGTCTTAGGTAGGGAGAGAATGTCAATCTCACCTATTGGCTTTAATGGGTCCATTTGCACCTATGGAAATAGTTTCAAGTGCCTGACACTTTTTTGAAACAAAGAGGCTGGCTGATAGGCAGCAAATGCTATTGCTCAAGTTAGTACAACCCATAAGCTACCACTGCAACCTCTTCCATAGCATTACTTTATAATACATGAATTTCACTGCTAACCAGGCTAAAATTAAAATTGATAAGGATATCCAAATTTAAAGCAACAAGAGGTTGTCTTCACTCTTATTTTCTGAACACATAATTATTTAACTTCCTTTACACTAACTCAATCAAAAAAATAAACTCTCAAAAGACAGAACTGGCAAAAAAACCAAACCTCCGAACAGTCAACAAACTAATCCTTCATGTCTTTACATTGTTAGAGATTACGATATTTGGCAATTCGAGGCTTCATGTTTAATTGCTGCTTGAGGAGAGCTTTCAGATCAAGTGAGAACCAGAACACTTACTCAGCACCAATAGATAAAAAGCTACAGGATTCAGAGGAGACTACCCATCCTTCTGTTTCACTGTTATCTTTTCCTGAAATAAAAGATTTCTGTTATAGTTAGATTCCACAATTTTTGATACCACATTGCATATCTAATACAGTACTTGTCTTGCTATGTTCTGCTTTGCCAAATGCTCAAATTTAAATTTGCAATGGTTAGCATTCTAAAATTTCTATAATATCATTCTAAAAAATGTAAGCACCATAAAGTAGTTCTAGGCACAACTGATAGTAACAGCATCATATTCCTGGTTCAGAAATGTTGTCTCCACACTATTTCAGATTTTTGCATTTATAGTTGAATTGCTTTAGATATAAATAATTACTTCTGTTTAGACAAGAAATTCCTTATTTTTTTTCCTATGTTAATTGTGTCAAGAGCCTTTTGACTACAGTGAATACTGGACTGAACTCCAATAAAGACAGTACAGGCACAGAACAGATCAAACCAAAAGTTTGTACGCTTTAAAAATCTTGAGTTTTTTCTTGTGCTCAAAGGACTTTATTCCCATCAGTTGATGTGAGCATTTGGAAAGTAGAAATACATTGTCTGTAGTCCAACACCTTTTGACATATCACAAAAGAAAGGGAGAAAACTGACATTTTTTCTGGACTGGATACAGTCCCGGATAAATGGCTGCAAGTGGCTCTGCTTGAGTGAGCAGGATGGAGCAGATTACCTCCAGAAGTCCCTTCCAACCTCAGCTGTGATTCTGTTTGTCCTTGCTTTCCTATTTTGGTGATAAGAACTTCATTCTCAGAAATACTCTATTACAGTTGGGCTGCCTAATTCTGACACTGTCATCAGGCAGTATTCACTTTTGCTGAAAACAGAAACAATGTTTGCAGACTTTCTACAAATTACCTTTTCCTTACAACACTACTGTTAGGAATTTACAAAACTGACTTTTCCATTACATGTTCCTATCTCTACTTCAGTAAATGCAGCTGTAATTACTTAAATTGATGGCTTCATGTGCTAACATGAATGTGTATATTCATATATATGCATATAGGTGTATGAATATTAGAATATACGTATGATTTACCTTTTCCATTCATGTCCCCTACTGGAATAAGGCGACCAATGCAGAGAGGGCGATTCCCATATGGATCACGTACTGCATAGATTATGTCTTTATGCATAATTAGCAATGAATATGAAGTTGGAGTTTCATTCATTAAATTTTTAATTCTGCAATGAGACAGAGGTGAACATAATAACGTGTTACACACCATGCTGAGACTAGATTGCTGTTCTTGCTTCTGAAACCTGTAATCCTCACCTTGCTACCCAGTCAGCAGTGTCGTCATTTTCTAGAGGAGGTGTGAAAGCCAGCAGCTGGGTGATCAATTCACTGTCAGAACTGGTTGACAATCCTACACCATGCCGCATAAGCTTTTAAGACACACACAAAAAAGGGTTACCAGTAGTAAAGTACTGATCTTGTCATACCTTTGCCTTGCTTCAATGCAGGAGTAGATCCTGTAGATTTTGGATGGAATTTAATAGCATGGATTTCACAATGAAACATCTGCTAAATTTTAAGCAGGTTCTTTAAAACATACTTTTCCAGACAAATAGACTATAAAATCTGTCATTTGATCATCTCCTTATGTTTGTGCCCTGACAATACTCATGATTAATTTTGAAAGCCAGAAATACAAGTAAAGACAATATTCCAAACAAGAACATTTCAAATTATGATTACCTCACCTAATTATGTCTCTCTTAACTCTCTTAACATATGATCATTAGGAATTAGTTTTTTCACTTGACATACAGCAGTGTGACAAATAGTCTAGAGGACTAGTGAGTTATGACCTATAGCAATTACAAATGTCTACTCTTTCCTGGGGCTTCTCTTCCCCCAAGGCTATTTTGATTATGATGCTCTTTCACAACACACAGTAGTTTGTCATTAAGCACTCATTATAGCAAACTTTTTGCTCATTTCTGTTTCATGCTCAGGAATGAATGATACTGGATTCTCCCAGGAGATACTAACCTTCCTCCTCAGTCGTACAGCATTTGTTAGTTCCCCATTGTGTGCCACAGCAATCTTTCCATGAAGAGTTTCTACAACAAAAGGCTGGCAGTTCTGCAGCTCAGAGATCCCCGAGGTAGAGTACCTGGTGTGCCCGATACCAAGGTTTGAAACATATAGCTTCTTCAGGCTGTCTGCATTGAACACGTGATTTATAAGCCCCATTCCCTTCAGGAGAAAAGGAAAAAAATTGTTGTTCTGCTGTTTTGTTTTATTGGCAGTGTGCTCATTTCTCCTTGTGCTTGTTCCTGGTAATAAATACTTTGCTAGAAAGCGAAATAACCTGAAATCCACAGGAAAGAAAGAAGCTGATTAGGTGTCACAATGATATGTCAGATCCCAGCACTCCTATTTTTTGACAAAACTTTATACATTTTCGTTCCGAGGATTTCCACTGAACAATCTATTTCCTGACTAAAAACGCATCCTTTGAAAAACACAACCAAAGTGCTAAGGCATTTAAAAACATAAGAAAAAAGAATGTCCAAAGGGAAGGAAAAGAAGAAAGAAGTCACAAGATTCTCTAATTAGGATATACTACTGGCAAGTTAGTGATATAGGATTTTCTTGTTTACTTAAAACAAACATTTCATACATCCAGGTTGCCTTCTATTTAAAGCAGACATGCGTCAAAGCGTTTTAGTCAGCTGTCAGGAGCTTCTTATGGCAACAAGCACTATGTGGAGACAAATTAACAGCAAGAATAACCTGGAAAAAAAACCTGCACACAGTAGAAATTAAGACTGGATTCCAAACCCTCCTACCACTCCAGCTTCTTATGCTGCATGTGGAAAATGTTTACATACTTCTAAGCCCCTGTTTCCCTATCATGTATGGTAACTGTGATGTACATGAAATCACACATGATAACACTCTTCTAGGATCTGTAAAGTTACATGAGAGAGATTGAAAAGTCATGATTGCTTTATGGCCTGTGCTGTGGGTATAATAACAACACAGTGGGATAACATAGGGAGGAAGGAAATATGGTGAGTTGTTTGCAGAACTCAACCAAAGCAGATTAAAGAAAGTCAGGCTTTAGAGTATTCTGTTCTTTGTCTGGATAGACTCAAAATACAAAAAGACTGTGGTTGCACATATGGTTTTAGGATACCTGCTGTCATGTTAAAAAATTACTGCCATAAGCATTCAAAGTAGTGCTTTTGCTTTAATGGTTCAGCAAACTATATGCCCAATCAAATGTCACCTGTTGTCTCACACATTACACAAAATCTGTACCATGTGCAGAAATGCAATCGTGCTCTTGTTTTACTTAGGCCTACTTATCCCAACAGGAGATCTGGCACTTCACAGGTCCAAAGTTAATGGATGTGGCTATTTGAAGCACTGCAATAGGTTAAACAAGCAATCCTATGTCAAAACACATTTGGTGACACAAGTACATCATCTTTAATATGCATAGTGAAATATTTTGCTGATTTAGATTGTGTCAGTGGGACAATGAATGTGAATTACACCACTATAAAAAATTCCTAGAGAATGCAATCTTATTTCTGTATGTCCCAGGTCTGGTATATACCAGAAAATGATAATATGTCTACTTTAATATAGATTTTTCTGCATATTCAAGCATGCAACAGTAAGACAAAGCTCTCCTGCTACTGATGTCACTACATCTATATAAGAGATGTACGTTTGTCCACATCCTGGGCTAGTACAGCTATGACACTAATTTTTTCTTGCACAAAGTTGGCTGAAAGGCTGTAACAGACAAATCTGGATGAGTCTTCTGGGAGAGTTTAAAACAAAGGATTATAAACCTTTGTTAGGGGCTATTAATCCACCTTCAAAGGCTGGTAACGATCAGAAAAGAACACATATCCATCCGTAGGTGGTCCAGTTTGTACTCTAATCCATTGGCTTAATCTGTTGACAAAGGTGAGCTTGCACTAATGCACAGTGTTGTAAATCGATGCAGTGAGCAGCAGGCAGCTTTTCCCTTCTGTTTTTTTCTGCTATGAAGAATGCCAGCTGGTGTCTGGAGGACAAACGGACACAGCGACATCTTCACTGCTGAGATTTTTTCATGGTGTAGTTTAAAGTCAGAATCCTAAATGTAACTTCACCAGGGTAACAGACACAAATGTTCCTTACATTGGCATAATTTCCAGGATTATACAAGTGAAATCTGTTGTACTCCACGGACTCTTTATTACACTGTAGTTATTGCGTCTTTTAGAAGTGTTGAATCCAAGAAAGGTATTTCAAGGATAAAAGTAAACATCACATCCTCTGCAACTCTTAAAATATCAAAGTTGATACAATGAGAAAGTCAATTAAACTCTTAGCATGACAGTTAAGTATGTCAGCTCCGTAACATGGAAACTCTACAGATTATTCTATCGTCTGCTAGAATTTCATAAATAATTTTTACTGCAGGATTTATTTATTTATAAATCTTTAAAAGAAAGTTTCAATTCCAGTAAACCTTAAGGTAAGTTGAAACCCAAGCAGAAGCAGGAGTGAAAAACAGATAACACAGTGTGGAATTTGAGAAAATAGGCATTTAAAAGTGTGTAGGTGGCAGGATGAGGTTGTATGTAACAGATAGGAAGGGGGGAAATTCCAGAAAAGGTGATAAACACAATGCTCAAGAGATGAGACTGTGCATGAGGCATGGAGCAGTCAAGCAGATATGCATGCTGCTGCAGCAAAACAGTTCTTACTCTTAAACTGATTTGAACAGCTTAATTAATCTTCCTCAGAGATGCATACGCATAAAGATGAATTGCCTTCTGACTGTGGTCAGAGAGCACACTCATATCAAGTGTGCTCCACAGTTTTGTTTGCTGAAATAGTTTTATTTCCAGTCCTCTGCTCTTCCAGGATTTAACAGGTTGATGATTATCTTTTTCTGGATGAGCAAAACCAATCCCTGAGCATGCAGGGATTGTCCTGGCATATTATTTGAGACTCTGGTCATTTAATGGCTTTTAACTTCCCTTGGGATTTTCTCAGCTTGAGAAAGACTGGGTGACCTTCTCAGATTTCCACTCAGCCATTTACTAAGTTTATGTTTACCTGTAGGTGAAGTAGCTGCCACTTCCTTGATTCTCACTAAGCTAAGAATTAGTTGGCCATGTCCTTCTGCAGAACTGTACCTATTTGTCTTTTCTCAAGTTGCATTGGTGTACTCTTCCACATCTCTGGAGTTAACACTTTAGGTGCAGGTGGAGTTGGAAAACACTTTTTAAGGTAACAATAGCCTGATCTGGATACTTCTTTGTGTCTACTGCTGTGCATGTGGCTACACCCAGAAGGGGATAACATGGGCAGATTTGCTTTAAACATGAGTTTAAGACAGAAATCACCTAGATAACACAATTAGATACTATCACTCTGACAATGCCAAAACAGCAAATGAAACCGTGCTGCTTCCCCTCTTTCTAATTATTTAGCTTCCTTGCTGAAATATGCATCTCACTTGGGCATCACCAAAACATTTACATTTTACCTTGTGCACTTTGAATGCTTGGGATGACTCTCCATCACTTGTCACAATTCCAGCACTCTCTTGGCCCCTGTGAACAAAATACAAATAAATATAAAGAATGAAAGTACTTAGAATGAAACACCATACTATGCTATGGATTAATGTTTTTCATCTGCTCTTTACAACATGAACTTTTAATGTAAATTTATTTGTTGTTTCATTTTACACACTTGTATTCAAAGCAGTTTCTTGCTCTTTTTTTCAAAACAGTCACATAAGTTTTTTGCCTAAGCCCACTGAATTCAGTGGAAATCTTTCCATTAAAAAGCACTGGCTCAGCCTCTTACTGCAGTCTGATTTCAGTGTAGGCATAAAATAACAACAGATGTTTAATCTGAAAAGAAACTTTGCAGTGCTACTACTCTAGCTACCATTAGCTAGAGTAGTAGCACTGCATCTATTTCTGTTGGGGTTTGTCTTAAGAAACTGCTGGTTTTGCCTCAAGGAATGCATTTTTTCTCCCACTGATCACCTACACAAATTTTTTGCACTCTTGCACTTAAGCAGTCAAACTAGCATTTACACCACTAACTGTTGTGTGAACCCTCTGGCAAAGTGCTCGAGAACATAAACCGAAGCTTCTGAACCATAGCAAAACAGTTCTGATGTACGGTGACATTGAAAACGGAAATGCTTCCACTATGGCAGACCAGTCTCACGCTGGCAGCTGTTTTGCTAAGCAGAAGAGCACTACCAGCTAAATGACAGCCTTGTCCCTAGACTGCTGCTTTTCCTCCCAGCTGTCTTCCCTGACTCCATGCAGGGCCTGTCTGGCCTGCTCAGATCCCACTGCATTCTTGTACTTAATAAGGAGTAAAAGGGAAAGATGTTTTTCTTAGAAAATGAACCACTTAGAATATTTTTAGAATACCAGAAGCTGCTATTCATCCATTGGACTGGTTTAACTCAACTGAGGAATTATCTAGTATAAGCAGTAATCAAAGTAGCTGCAAACCTACATAACAGATTCTAATCTACAACTGAAGACTTTCTTTAAGCCCTAAAACCCTTATATTTGTCGCTAGACCCACTTACACGTACAGCAACATCTAAACAACAAAGTTTAAAGAACAAAGAAAGCAGAACAAAACAAACTTTACACATATCTGAATGAATTTATAGCTGACTTGAAAGATCCCCGAGGAAAAAAAAAATCAGAGATAAGAAAACCCGTAAGTTCATTTATTTTAACTCAGGAAGACGTCCTATCTGTTAACATAATGACTGACCTTAATCTTATTAGATTAAGGGTTCATACACCACATTCAGCAACTTTTAATTCAAATTTCAATATTATAGATGACTTCCAGTTCAATATTGATAATGTCCCTTAAAACATCACCAAAATCAAATAGAGGGAGAGAAGCCGGCATCATGATTAAAAGGACTTTGCAAGTAGTGGGCTTACATCTTTTATGTAGTCTAATAGAAGAATAGTAAGCACAGGCAAAAAGGAAGCAAGGAGCTTATGCCATTTTACCAACTTAGTGATTTTTAAGTAAGCAAGCACTTAATTAACTCATCACCGGTAGTAAATGGACAGTAAAAATGCATATAGAAATGCATGTAAGCGCCCACCAATTTTACAGCAAATGCCACTTGGCCACGCAATGGTGAGACTGTGCATCATGCCCACACTGCTGCCACACCACGCACACTGCCTCGCAGCCCACACAGCGGCCGGCAGCAGCCTCAGGTTGCTGGTGGAGAGGAGGTGCTGCGGCGCTCACACACAGCACCCACACAGCGCGTCCGCGCAGCCTCCCCCCCCCCGGGGGGGGGGGGGGGGGGGTGCCAGCACAGCTTGCTTTCTGCACCTGTGTTTTTCTTGCTCAAGGCATCAAGCCAGCCCAACCGGCTTTGTTGCCCTGATGGCAGCGCAGTGGTGACACCGGCACCATTTTCCACACGGAGGGCTGAAAGGCCACTCCAGGGGCCGGGCAGAGAGGCGGCTGATGGCAGTGTGGCTGCCAAGGGCCTGCCCTTGTGTGCCTGCCTGCTGGGGCTCTGGGTGCCGGTGTGGAGCTCAGGGCGGCCTGCAGCTCGCAGTGCTCAGGACGGCACACGGAGCCGCCGAGAAGCAGGCGCCTGGTTGCCTAGGGAACCAGATCTTGGCTAGAAATAGTGAATCATTTCCAGGTCACTCTCAACATGGAGAGTGGAGCGGGGAAGCACTGGACTGAGGAGGAGGTTAAAGCCTTGCTAAGCATCTGGTCGGAGAAGAGCATCAGGAAACAGCTCCACGGCACCCTGAGGAATAAAGGAATATTCATCTACATTGCCAAAAGGCTGCAGGAGTTAGGAGTTTGTAGAGATTGGAAACAGTGCCGAGCAAAGTACAAAAACCTGAAGTATGAATACAGAACGGTTAAATACGCCCGCAACTCCGGGGATGCCACTAAAACCATGAAGTTTTTTCATGACCTGGATGCCATACTGCGATGTGAGCCTGTCGCACGCTTGGCTGCCGAGGGGAACGCCAGGTGCTCCACCACCGAGGCACGGCTCAACGCCAGTCCCACCGCAGACAGCAGCCAAGGTAAAACTCTTTCTGCTTCTATATCCTCCCTTTGTTTAAAAACTACCAAATAAAAAGCCCCCAGCCCCAGGCAAACAAGCCCACATCCTAAGTTTGCCGGCTCTGCGCTGAGGCTGCCCAGCCTGGCAGTGCTGTAGAGCAGCCCCAGACGGGATGCGCTCCGGCACAGGGCAGGACATGTTAGCACCCACCAGTGTTGAAGCCTGTAAATACAGTGTAATTCTCACCAAAACACACTAACTGCTTGCAGTAAAGCCTCTGTAAGTGTTCTGATGTCAAGGCTCCTGCACAGAGCTCAGGCGTTAAATTAAGGAAAGATGGTTGTGTGTGTTGCTTGTTTTTTTTTTCCCTTTAATTTCATTTGCAATACTTTGCAACCCTGACTATTAGAGCTCCAGTTCTAAACTTAAAGAAAACCGAATGTAGATGTGGAAAATGTCATGATTATTTCAAGAACTGTTACTTGTGGCACAACTGAAATTTCTAGTTTCTATTTTTATCTCTCTGTAATTGAAATTTCAGCTATGACCAAAGGTAAATGAAATTATTCTATTAGAGATTAACTTCATTTTTCTGAGAAACAGAGGAATGTTTAATAACTTCCTATTAAAAATTGTAATGTGCCAAGGAAAAATAAAAATTGTAATGTTTGTCTGAATATTCTGAGGCAAAACATGTAACTACAACTGCTCTTATTCTGAAAGGGTTTTTTTAAACCAAATTAGTTGCATTCCTTGTTTGATTCGGTCCTCTTTACATATGCATTTAAGCTGTGCTTAACATTTCATTAGGGTTAATCTGCTATTTGACAGCACTCAAACCTCCTCATCTCATTTTGAATGTCACTGAAGCACAAGCTCCAGTAATAGTTGTAAGTATCCAAATAATATGGCTACAAAGAGAAATTCAAAGATAAGTTCAATTTGTTCCATCCGTATATGCCAATTTACATTAATTAAGACTGTGAATCTTTTTAAAGAAAACAATAAACACACTAAAATAGTATTAGAGGAACTTGCCAATGGCACAAAGATGCTGGACATAGCTTATCACTGTACTCTTCCAAGGCTCCTTCTACAATGCTGTCTTACAGGTCTGATAAAAAGGAATTAACATTTCTCTTGCCACTGTTTACCTTAGCTAAAAGCTCGACCTTAATTTGTCATCATTAGCATAAAGCCTCTAATCTGTCACAAATCACTTAAAAATAAAATGCCAATTTCATGCTATTTTAACATGTGCTGTCTGCACAATGCATTGCTACTACAATCCATTTTTATTTTTAAATATGCAGAACTGAGAGCCAAATCTGTGGCTGATACAAGCTGTTAACTCCTGAGGAGTGCACAAAGCTAAATCAGAGTCCCTCCTCTCAGGATCTGAACTTAGGTTATCCTCTGTGTTTTGATGCAGTTTGCACCAATTGTTAATCTCATCTCATGTAATTCTCATCTGCTTTCGATCTCTTGCAAGTTTAAATCAGGAAGAGTTGGTTGCAGTTATGAATCCCAAACTGGAAAAAAAACACGAAAAATAAAATAAAAAATTTTCGTCCCCGAGGTGAGACACTTCATTTTGAAGCATTGGCACAATCTGGTTTTAAAAGTGGTATAATGAAATGCACAAGCATTTCTACTACTTCCTTTACAAGGAAAAAAAAAACCCAACCAAGTATTTTATAAATAGAAAGTAAATGAAACTGTAACAGCAACTGTAAAACTGTAAAAATAACTGCAATTGTAATAATGTAACACAAGTGGTAACAATTTAAATGCAAAGACTCCTACAACCATAATTGAGCCACAGTGGAAGCTCGCTAAGCAATGAATGTGTCCTGCAGGTATGCAGTACACACACATCTGCACCACGGGCAGAGCGAATAGCGGTGACAGCATCAACTTCCTTCATTTAAGGACACAAGCCAAGTAAACAGCGCTGCTTCAGGGACAGTTTTTTCCCATTGCCATCCGATGATGGCAATGCCATCATCATTGCCATCATTATGGTGGCTATGAAAGGAGGAGTTGCCAAGCTCAGTGTTTCGAAATTCAGTTGTAAGGCTGAAGCGGCATTTGTGGCTGTGCTGCTGCTGGTCAGAAGTGTCTTGTGGGTGCAGATGTGAATGTGGCACTCCCACAGATGGCAGCGTGAGTTTGCACAGCCTGCTGTGCCTATCCAGCATGAACCTCACAGCTCCTCTGCTGCCTTCGGGAAGAAAGGGACTATTTCATACAAGTATCTCCTGTTAAGACCTGTGTACATCTGTGTCCTTGCAGGTGCCTTCCTGAACTTCTGTTTAGCCACTGAAAGCTACAGGAGCAGAGGGAGGCACGGTTCTACCCCTCTCTTTTTCAGAAGGGGCTGAGAAGGTTTATTTTAACAACTGGAGGAACCCAAGGCTTCTGCCTTGCATAGGAGGAGCAGCAACAACAAAAGGCTATCAGAAAACTAAAACCTGTGCCAAATAATAATATTCACTATGCAGATCT